TTCAATTTTAACTAGTAAAACACTTTGAAAATCTAAAAGGAAGGTTGATGGTTGCACAAAAATTTCTCCCAGTTCCCTGCCTGGACCTGTGAGGAGACCAGTGTGAGAACAGGCATGCTTGCAGTTTAAAGGCAGTGGTGAGGGTTCTCCATTAACTTCAGATGAGCCTCATCATACACTGCTAGCCCTTTTTGTCCCAGTGTCCCTCTTCACACACACCCACTCGGGCCTGAAGGCCATCTGTTCTGTTACAAGGGGGGGGGGGAAATAGAAACACATACTTCTTTAATGGCATTATATGTCGTACTATTGAGAGGTTGTTCTCACTGGAATTATTTCAATAGCCAAACTCGTTAATCAGGTGATGTACGCACAATTTATATCCTGTGATTGATTAAATGTCAAACTTTCTTGCCATATAACAGAGCACTGGGGAAAGAAAAGCCTTCAACTTCATTCAGCTGCATCTTTTGATATTTAATTCTTTAAAACAAGTTTATTCGGTGTATTTAAACATCATATCTGCTCATTTGCAAAACTTGCACAGTTTTTTGGTCCGTTTTTTAATTTTTTTTTATTTTAAGCATTTATTGTGCAATAAATGAAGTGGGGTGTTTCTAAGCAAAACTAGTGCAGTGCACACATACAATTGAATGAAAACAGCCAATAGCCAGGGCCTATTCATATTCCTGCTGATCTTTATGTAGAAACCATTTCAGATAAGAAAAAATGAAACCCTAGAAATGTCAAATAAAAAATGTACAGTAATTTGTATTTGTTAGATGACACACTAACACATGAACAGAGAACCAAGAAAAACATCGATCACTGGATTTGATCCATACCAGGTCCCAGAAACCAAGTTAACAAAGAACCTACCAAAACAAACATTCATGGACATTTATATATATTTAACCCACAATTTATATACCGGTGCTATATGGAGATGGATTGACTTAATTTAAACCATTTATGATGTTTCTTCTTGTTTACCTCTGCTCATGTCTTTTGGAATCCAATAATGTGCCCTGCTAATGGCCACACATATGTTGCTTGAGTGGAAAAGTCATGTGAATGAAACGGATGAATATAGCTTTTTTTAACCATTATACTGCGGTTATACAGCATAAATAATATAAATGTAACATTGGTCTTTATGTACTCCTACTTTAATTGTATCTGCCACTTTTAAATGTTAAATAGATGTCAAATGTAAAATTTAAATGTAAAATCAAAACAGCTATCCCTGACTTAAACTTCATATATTTTAATCAAAGTTCACATTAAAGTTTGAAAGTCTTCCATTGACTTGCACTGTTAGAATGTTCAGCATTCAAACACTCAGCGTCTGGAAAGCTGAAGATGTCATAATGTTCTGTCTGCTTTAGCTGATGATGTCAGCTGGCTCTTTTGTTCTATTCCACAGTTTTCCTTTTCTGAGAAAATTTTTTAAAAATGCTTTCCTTTTGCTTTATATCAAGTACTGGTATTTTCTTGAGAAAATGCTAATCTAACTGCAAACTTAAAAAAAAAAAAAAAAAACTGTATTTGCATGGTATTAAAAAAACAATTTTACTGTAGTTCTTATTGAGGATCTTCATTATACTGAAGCAAATACATTAGAGAGAGTCCACTCAAAAAAACATGAGCAGTTTGTCATCATTCATTCATCCTCATGTCATTCCAAACTTGTTTTGACTTTCTTTCCTTGTGGAACATGCAAAAAGATATTTTGAGAAAGGTCTCAGTGGATTTTGTCCATATAATGGAAGTCAGTGGTAACCAAAAATTCTTACTTTTTGGGGGGGGTATTCCGCAGAAGAATGAGGTTGAGGGTGAATAAATAGATAAATAATTGATGAATAAAATTGGGTGTTTAACTTTATCAAGTTTAAAATTTTTAGTTCAAACACAACCTAATCAATGCAAAGCTTTGCTACAGGTGACACAGAGTTGGTGCAAAAGTTATTCACACACACATAAATATACATGTGTGGGTTGTGAATTAGCTTAAAGGGGTCCTATTATGCTCTTTTACAAAGTCTTAATTTTGTCTGCGTTGTAGTCCAAACGAGTCGTTCGTTGTAGTTTTTGAAAAGTGATTTCTGTTAAATAAAATATCTCCCTTTGAAGTGGACTTTGAGCTTTGTAACTCTGCAGATCTTTTTTATGCTCAAACAGCAACATTACAGACTAACTAAAGCTGAAAAAGTGAAAAAGCATAATAGGACCCCTTTAAATAATATCCTCTTGACAAAGTCTCAGATTTACCACTTGATTTACTTTTCCCCACAGCCATCCAGAGGTGCTTCCATCTTCTATGGCCCCTTCCCTGTAGCCAGCACTTTCTGCAAAACTGTTCTCATCAGATAATTAATTTGCAATATAGTAAACACAGTGCTGAACTGTGTGTCATGTCAGGACCTGTGGCGAGTCGCGCCAGAGTCTACGCTGAGGTCAACACACAACGGCCCAGAGAATACTGGGATTATGAATCGCATGTTATTGAGTGGGGGTATGTATAACAAAATATATCAATTTTTTTAATTAGAATATTTATTTATTAGAAGCAGTAACATTTTTAAAGTGGCGAACACAATCGATTTGCATAGTTTTGTTACGTTCATGTTGTGTTTGTGTTACATTTTTTTCGCCCTTGAGGAAAAGCTCCAGGAATGTTACCAGAATCGACTAAATAGAGGCGATTATCAGGGGCCCTGCACATTTTTGTTTTTCCTTTTCAGTTCATTGATTAAATGCTTCTGCTGTTCTTATTGTACTCTTTTCACTGATGCGGTTCAGACTTGCCCTTCTGGAGCCATTAGCAGTTAATGCTTGTAGAAGAGCTCTTTTGACTTCAGTTTTGCCTTCAACATAAATTTTGTTTGATATTGTTGGCTGATCACATGCTGTTTCAGTCAGTTTTTGTTTTTTTAAAACAATTGTTAGGACCAATTTACTCAATACTTAGGTCACTTTTTCAAAACCCTTCACATAGTGAGCACAACAGTAGTGTATGTGGACTAAACTGTGGATCATTTATCATTTCTTTAGCACAGAATAAATTCAGTGACTACAGCTTTCAAATTACATGAATTCTTTTCTCACCCAGACACAACCACCACTAAATCTCTATGAACCTACAGGCCAATTTGCACTTTTACATGCTCTTTTCAAAACTGTTACACTTAAATTCAAAACACATTTGAGTAATACCATATTGAAATATATTGAAAATTTAGAAAATGAAATTGTATCAAAACAATTAGAGAAGCTAAACACAGTCAGGTGTTAGACTTTCATTACATTTATGCAGAAGGGAAACACGTAGGAATAATGTTGTACTGTAATTCAAGCATAGACCGCGTGACATATACTGCAGTGAATTCTAAACAGTTGACACTGGCATTCTTGTTTTTTAAATAAATGTTACAAAAACATAATATGCTACCTCTTTGTGATTTTTGGTCAGTGTTTTATGAGTGACAAAGTGACACACTTCAACACAGTCAGGTGTTAGACTTTCATTACATTTATGCAGAAGGGAAACACGTAGGAATAATGTTGTACTGTAATTCAAGCATAGACCGCGTGACATATGCTGCAGTGAATTCTAAACAGTTGACACTGGCATTCTTGTTTTTTAAATAAATGTTACAAAAAACATAATATGCTACCTCTTTGTGATTTTTGGTCAGTGTTTTATGAGTGACAAAGTGACACACTTTGCTAGTGTAATGGAAAAATTAGTTGATTAGATACATTGTCTGAAGTGATTTGGTAGTTTTTGTACACTTTAAAGGAGACATATTATGCCCCTTTTTACAATATGTAACATAAGTCTCTGGTGTCCCCAGAATGTGTCTGTGAAGTTTCAGCTCAAAATACTCCACAGATCATTTATTATATCATTATGAAAATGCCTATTTTGAGTGGAAGCAGAAACACGCTGTTTATCGTGCCTTTCTTTATGAAAATGAAGGCATATAAATGTGGCATGTTGGTGTACCCGTCCAGAGTTATCTGTACCTTTAAAGAATATGTTGTTAAAGGGATAGTTAAAAAAAGAGTAAATTAAAATGAAAAGAGTAAAAAAGAGTAGATTTTGTGCATCTGTGTCACCTCTGACTGTGATTTTTATACTGAGAAGCGTGTGTGTTAAAGGGATAGTTCACCCAAAAATGAAAATGTGATGTTTATCTGCTTACCCTCAGGGCATCCAAGATGTAGGTGACTTTGTTTCTTCAGTAGAACACAAACGAAAAAATTTTACTCAAACCGTTGCAGTCTGTCAGTCATATAATGGAAGTGAATGGGAATCACGGCTTTGAGAGTCAAAAAAATACACAAACAAAACCAAATTAAACCCTGTATTTATGTTATATTAAATACAGTATTTTGTGTTATATTTTTTACCTCTTACACACCACAATGTCCAACATCATGACGCGTGTACGTGCTCTGGCATAGTAGACATAGAAATATATAGTATATATGTCTATGTCTACTATGCCAGAGCACGTACATTCACCGGATGTTGAACATTGCGTTGAATCAGAGGTAAAAAACGATATAAATACTGTTCAGTTTCTTGCACAGACCGAACGTTTCGTGTCTTTACACATCAATGTATCGTCACGAGCCACAGGGTTTAATTTGGTTTTGTTTGTGTATGTTTTTTTGACTCTCAAAGCCACGATTCCTATCCACTTCCATTATATGACTGACAGACTGCAACGGTTTGTGTTAAAAATCTTAATTTGTGTAGAAATATGTTTTTAAACAATTATTAAAAACAATCAAAGTATAAAGTAATGTTGCGTAGTTCTAAAAAGGAACATTTGAATGTAAGCATAAGATAGAGTCTTGCTTGGAGGTTTAAAGTTTCAATAAGCCACTGAAGTTGCTGCATGTATACTTATCATTAGCATGTATGCAGCAGTATAGCATTACAGCATTATTTATACAGATAGACAAACAGACAGACAGAGTTTCATCTCATGTTTCAGTTGCGTCTCATTGACTGGGGACTGGCTGAATTCTATCACCCAGGACAGGAGTACAACATCAGAGTCGCCTCTCGCTACTTTAAAGGACCAGAACTACTGATAGATTACCAGGTCAGACTTCACATCTGTGCATAAAGATGTCTAACTGAAAACATATTTTATAAAATATAGCTTAAATTGTTTTTACTAAGGGATTAAAATGTCTAGTGAGCCACTTGAAAAGTCTTTACAACCTTTAAAACTTGCTGAAACTGGCAACGCCTCTTTAAAAATTGCAATAGCATTTGGAAATCTGAAACAAATCACTTGTATTCGGTCATTCCAGATGTATGACTACAGTCTTGATATGTGGAGTCTTGGTTGTATGCTGGCCAGTATGCTCTTTAGGAAGGAGCCATTCTTCCATGGGCATGATAACTATGACCAGGTGAGTATAATCGGGAACTTGATAAATGGATAGTTCAGTGGACAGTTGTTTGATAATTAAAGGAATATTGTGTGCTTTTATAAAATGATAAGCCTCACATAATAAAACTCATTGTCCCTATTTACTTTTACCATTGGTAATTGCCACACTCTAACCATGTTTGCTTTAAAAAAAAAATAGAAAGCAGTAGAGAACCAGTACTAAAGGCCTGTTAACACCAAGGACGATAACTATAACAATAATGGCAGCACTTTATTTTACAGTCCTGTTTTGCTTGTACATAACATGTACGTATTATATCAATTATAATAACTGGGTAATACTAACCCTAAACCTTAACCCATGTAGTTACCTTATATTACCAGTACTTTTTAGGGTAAGTACACTGTAAGTACACGTACTTTAAAAAATAAAAAGTACACATACTGTAAAAAAAATGTTATCACAATAACTGTAATTATAAAGTTTTAATAATCATTCTAAATCCACAAGAATAACGACACAGAGGAACAATATCGCTGGAATCACTTTAATTTTTTATTTTTCCAGTTGATAAAACAATTTTAAAAAACACTGACAGCCAATCAGAATCCACCTAACTTTAAAAAGCTCACGCATTTAAAGCAGCACTATGTAACTTTTTCTGTGTTAAAAATTTGCAAAATGTATATAATGAGCGAGTACATCATGAATTAATCTTCCAAACCGTGTTTTTGTCTTATTCCGAGTCACTACGGTACACTTATAATAAGTACTTATATTTGGACTATTGTAGCCTGGTCGGGTCTTCACCGCTGCGGAGTAACACATACCTGCGTGAATCGCCGTAGACGTAAACTTAGAGAAGAAGCTCCGGTTGGAATGTTCTTCCGCGGGATGTGTGCAGCTCTGTTTATTAACCGCTAGAGCGCCAAAAGTTACATAGTGCTGCTTTAAAGCGGTAGACTATATAAACTGCAGTGTGTGCACATAATAAACAGAGCGTTATTGTCCTTTGGTGTGGACATCGTATGGTTATAGTTATTGTTCTTGTCATGAACAGGACTTGACTGTGGAATTAAAAAAGATGAACTCTTACAACAAAGTGCAGTGCTTGCAACATAACACTGTATTGAATTTCAATACAGTAAGTTCAAGTATTTCTAATATATAGTAACATGAACACTGTAACATAAATGAATGCAGTTGTTGGTCTTTACTTTTGGAGTTGTATTGACTGAATTAATTACAATGTTCCTATTTCTTCAAAGTTGGTGAGAATAGCTAAAGTTCTTGGGACAGAAGATCTTTATGATTGCATTGATAAATACAACATTGAGCTGGAGCCTCGATTTAATGACATTCTGGGAAGGTGAGTCCTCCGTATGCCTCTTCCTTTCATAACCTGGCATTGTTAGCACGGTGTTCTTTAATTTGATTTCAGCCAATTTACATTTACCTCATGTTAGACATTCCCGTAAGCGATGGGAGCGGTTCGTTCACAGTGAAAACCAACACTTGGTCAGTCCTGACGCTCTTGACTTTCTGGACAAGTTGTTGCGTTACGACCATCAGACCAGACTGACTGCAAGAGAGGCCATGGAGCACCCCTACTTCTGTAATAGCATTTGAAATATTACATTAGCACCAGGTCTATTGAATTACTATGAAGAGATTTTCATTTGATTCTATACATTTACACTAACAAATATTAGTATTTTTAAGTAATTATGAAATCTTGCCCCTTGCCTTAGTCCCTGTTGTGAAAGATCAGTCTCGCATCGCAGGATCAACTACTGTGCCAACAACTAACACTGCAGTGAGCACTGCCACTATGATAACAGGTGAGCTACCGAGCATATATCAAACTCTTTGCATGCTTTAAAATGTAATTATAATGATATGATTATTAAAACACACACCCACATTTTTGTTAGATTTTGTCCATAGAACTTGACTTGCTTTAAATCTGGAAAATTCCTTTAAGCACAGTTCACACAATCAAGAACAACAGAATTATGCTTTTATACTGATTAAAAATTATAAGCAAATTAATTTGTACTTTACAACTTTGTGCCAGTAAGTGGACCTGGTCAGGTACTGTTCAGAAGTTTGGAATCAGAGAGGTTTTTTGTTGTAGTTCTTGTTGTTTGTTTGTTTTTTTTAAACAAAGAAAGAAATTAATACTTTTATTTAGCAAAATATGCATTAATAGATCAAATGACTCAAAGGTGATCAAAACACTTTTACATTGGTAACTAATGAATGCTATTCTTTATGGAATTCAACTTAAAAAAAAAAAGGTAAATGTGACTTTTTAGTTCACAACTGACTTTATTCTCACAGTTTTTTTAAATCTCAGAACTGCAAACATAACCTTGCAATTCCGAGTTTACATCTGACTTTTTTCTTTTAGTTCTGAGTTTATATCTCATGGTTATGTTTTTTCCACAATAGAATAAAAAAAAAAAAAGGTTATTGCTTATATCTCTTAATTCTGACTTTCTCAGAATTGCAAGTTTACGTTTTATGCAATTTGGGGATTATATCTCACGATTCAGTCTTTTATTGAAGTCTGAATTTTGAGATATAAACTCAGAACTGCAAGAAATAAGTCAGAATTGTGAGATAAAAAGTTTCAATTACCTTTTTTTTAACTCTTGGCGGAAGTTTCCATAGTTTTTTCAAATTTTATTCATCAAGGATTTTCTTGAAAGAGCTCTGAAATAAATGTATCATGGTTTCCAGAAAAATATTAAGCAGCACAATGTTTTCAACATTGACAATAAGAAATGTTTATTGAGCACCAAATAAGCATGAATAAGATTCCTCTTTTTTCCGTCTACTTCACTAGGAATAGCTGCGCTTCCAGCCTCCACAGCTCTAGGGTCCCTGACGGGTTCCCCCATTCTCATGGCTCCCAGCAGCCTAAACACTCCAGTGCCTGCAGCCACGGGGGCCGCTCAGTGATGTCACCGTACCCGTCAGTCCACATCAAACCTGCTGAGGATCTCTGGGACTGTTGTTACATAGAGCTCTTCGGCACCACAAGCCCTGTTTACCCGGCAGTGCAGCATGAGTTTATCTGAAATTGAATGCACTTCATCATGAGATGTTCACCATCATGCATTCACCTCAGGCAAAAGTGCGCAGGATGTGTTTGAGAGCTTATTCACAGAAAGAGAATCATCACGTGTGATATTACATACATTGTCCTGCCATTAAACAGCTTAGCTTTACTTGAAAATGGATGGACTATTTGGAGCAAGTGAAGCATGCGGTAGCACAGTATTTCTGTCAGCAGTCAATGAGCAAATCCTCTCTCAAGTGTGAAATGATACTGCCGTTATACAGCTGTGGCCGTAGTTCAGAGTGTGTATTGGTGCTGTTTACTGTAGCTCACGTCAGGTCACACCAATCGCCTTTACTCAACACACAGCAGTGTCTTTAGCTCCTCTCACTGTGGACGTCCCGTATAAATGGCAATGCTGTGGCATTTTTTATATATATATATATATATATATATATATATATATATATATATATATATATATATATCAAACCATATTATCATACTTTTACCATATTATGGTAGATGAACACAACTGCTGCCATTCCGATAACTCCATACACAAAGAATATTCCCGATAGGCCTATCACATCTGAGAAAAATGAGAGTCGTTGAAATCTGATAAATTATTTGCAAATACATTTCATATGATGACAACTGACTTTGTGTGTGGCCGTGGTTGTTGTGCATACCTGTTATACTCAAGAAAGAAAAGGTAACTATGAGGTTGGCCCCCACGTTGAAGCAGTTGATGAATGAATAGGCTCTTCCCCTGACTTCCTTTGGAAATATCTCACTTAGCACAAGCCATGTCACTGTGAACCAAACATGCAGTTTCATGCAATTAAAGTAGTAGCTGTTGTATAGCATGAAACATTGGTAGATGATGGAATTTCTGTGCCAATAGATGCACCAAGCAGCTATTTGGACATCACTGTTTTGACAAATGTTTATCAAAACACACTGGAGATAATGTTAACTGTATACTCAAACTGATAAGACAGTTATGTTTGGTGCTGCCAGTGGCACTGCATCTTTAACTACAGTAAATGTAGGTATCACTCCAAGAAAACTTACTTGGTCCAAAGCTGACTGAGAAGGCACTCACAACTGTCATCATACAGATAAAAATAATCCACTTATACATGTCCTCTGAGTGTGAAGAAATATTTGAATCATGTGTTTCACGCCCAGTAGATGGAGTGCTTTGATTGACCAAGATGTTGCCCATGTTTTCTTGATTTTCAGCCGGTGAGGTCAAATTTGAATGTGGTTCTAATGAAGTGCATTGTTTTGTTGTATCAATCACTGACTGTCTGCACAAGAAACCAGTAAGTATCAATCCTATAGCCAGCACTGTGCATCCACCAATCAAGAGTGATCTTCGACCAACCTTGTCTGAACATATCATTGCCAACAGAGTAGCAATGACTTTGACTATACCCAGACCCACTGACGCAAGAACTGCAGACGCGTTGCTCTGAAATCCCACAGAGAAAAGGATGGTGGAAGCGTAGAAGAGGACATTTGGCTGACCTGTGAATTGTTGACTGAGCACCAGCCCAAGACCAATGGCGGTTCTTCTCAACATGTTGTCTTTGGTTTTGAAAAGGTCAAACACACTATATTTAACTTGTTCTGTTGGGTGCTGATTCGACATTTCCCCTGCTAATCTATCAGATTGCTGGCTATCGTTCTCTGTTACGAGGCCTTCAGAGGTACCGGTTGTCTGAGGTAAAAACCTAATGGACACCAACTGCATGAGAGATGGTATAATAGCAAGTCCAAACATGTACCTCCATCCTGCTTGGACACCAGATAAAACGTAGTTGGCCGCATAGGCCAACAAGATCCCAACTGTAATTCCAACTTCGTACAGGGTAACCATCAACCCTCTGCGTTCGGGAGCAACCATCTCAGAGACAAAGATGCAGCAGCTCATGGAAGAAATGCTCATTGCAAAGCCAATGATGGCCCTCCCAACCACCAATGCCAAAAAAGATATGCTTGTAGTTAGGATGATGGTGCCTCCTAAAATGAGGAGGTTACTCAGTAAAATGGATGTCCTCCTGCCATGACGATCAATCAGCCAGCCACCAATCACAGATGCTGACAATGATCCGATCAGTAGAGCGCTAACCATGGCTTCCTGCTGGACACAACCCAGATGGAACTGAGCTTGAAGCTGCGGCAGAGCGCCGGATATTATTCCAAGCTCATAGCCGAACACTAGGCCACCAAGAGTGGATGCAATGATAGTGAGCACCAGGACAGAACAACCTAGAAAAGAGAAAGTAGCACACAAATAACACAGAAGATAACTTGAGGAGAACACAGAAGAGCTGGGTTGGCCTGCTCATACACTCTTTAAAATAAAGGTTCCTTATTAGCATTGATGATTCCATGAAGAATCTTTAACATCCATGGAGCCTTCCACTGCACAAAAGCTTCTTCAGATTATTGAAATATTATTCACACTAAAAATGGTTCTTTTAGGAACTGTTAATAGAAAGGTTCTTTGTGGAACCCAAATGGTTCTTCTATTGCATCCCTTTGGAATTAAGAGTGTAGGGTGAACCAGGACTTTTCTTGGTGTTCTGAGAAAACCAGCAGTTTAAAAAAGTAATGTATAAAATTACAACATGTACTACCATCCTCAGGCACTGGGATGTGCTGCCACCAAGGGTAGCATATTTTTACGTGACTGGACTAACCTACAACCCTAAGGCTGATGATAAACGGAGCAACTTTTTGAGCAATTTTGCCAGGCAACTTTTTTTGAGCAATGTTGCTTGAGCACTTTCCCATTGAGAATGGGTAACACATTTCTATCTGGATACTTTAGATCAGTCGTGGGCCCTGTGTCTCACCTGGTTGCCCGTTGATGGCAACATTGCTCAAAAAGTTGCCCCGTGTATCATCAGCCCCACATTACTCCAAATATAGTGTTGGTAGATCATCCTGATCGATAGGCCAGCTTTTCAGAACACTCGTCAATTTAAAATTATGTTTATATACAAATGGTTTAAAAGTAGAAAAAGTCATATTTCAGAAGGTGATCTTAAATTACAAGAAATAGGAAACATACACACGGTCATAAACTATGACCTGCATTTTATAATAATTATACATGTTGTTCTAGATTAAGTACAGCAATATCACCATGCAGGGTATACATATTTCTAAACAGATAACTGATATTAAAATCTGTCGTATTTGTTTGCTATTGAGATAATCAATTTAATACTTTACATGCTAAAACGCAAATAAGCATCGAACAGGTCTAACACTTACCCATTTTTTTAACAGATGCTGGCTCATCAAATACGCAACCAGTCTGTGGAATATAATCTATTTCCAAAACATAAACATAGCAAATGGGAACTGCTAGGTTTAAAGTTCCTCTAGTTGTCTAGTCGTCCTATGCTTGATTCAGGACACTGTCACCATGACAACTCCCGTGTCGGCGCTATTGATTTCATTAGAGCGGATCGCTTGAGTGCGTTTCTAATTAGCTATAAATAACCTGCAGCTGATGTCTCTGACTGCAGCTCTGTCCGCACGAAACTCGAAGCCTGCGGGATTTATGTATTGCTTTAAAGTTTTCTGAAGCCACTGTCAAATCGACAGAATAACATCTGCAAGACCAACCCGTTATTTTTAAAACAGAAGTGGGAAAAAGAGGCTGGCAATGCTTCCACCGTTTAAACACTCATTTAGACGACTACACGTAGCTACCGCTAGCCCGCCTTCTCACCTCAGACCGATTAACATCCCTCAGACCAGATGTTTTATCCCGATAGAAAACTGACTGAATCAAAATGTACATTGTTTAAGATTATACGCGGTCCGCATAGTCACTGTAGAAGGGAATCGCTACTGTGGCGCATCATAGTTATTTTTTTCGTCTGCTTTTTGTTCTGGCAAAGTTTCTTGGAACCTCTTTCAGAGCTGAGGTCTGTTCATCCGAGGAAGTCGCGCGACGTGGCAGGAGGCTGAACCCTTCCTTAAACTGAGCGACTCCTTGAGCCTTCCTAAATAAAGACGTTCTGATGCCATTCATCTTATCACAGTAACTGCATGTCGTACTTACCAACACCTTCAAATCATATAGTAAATATCAAACTAATTAATAATTAATCTAATAGCATTATCTTTGTTTTCAATCTTTGATTTAAATAGTTTCACCAGAAAATCAGACAGCCTGTCATGAAGACTGATGAGAGAATCTTTAAAGTCGACATAAAAAGCCTATTAGATTCAGACACTACACTGCAAAAATTCTAAATTGCTAAAACATTTGTGTCATAGCAATACTAGAGCATTTCGTGTTTATCTGTAATAGATGAGTGGAAGAGAGAAAAGTGAGGAGTGATTCTGTGGGGTAAAAAATGCACTATATATGATGGGAGTTTGGGTAATAGTTAACAGTAGCTATGTCAGTTATATTTTTTAAAGATTATAGGGCGAGGAAGAAACCAACGACACTAAAATGTGGGGGAAAGGCAGTAAGAGATTATTACGGTGGCCGAGAAGTGCAAAACAAATCACAATTCTGAAAACAATATAACAAATTACAAACGCAAATGCAAATGCAAGTCTAAAAAACAAAATAACAATTCAGAAAACACAACAACAATTCAGAAAACATTATAACAAGTCAGAAAACACAATGACAAATTCGAAAACAAAATAACAAGTCAGAAAACACAACGACAAATCAGACAAACCGGAAGAGGTAGGTGTAGTTTGAGACAGCGCCATTGGTTTGGGATTACTCACCGCTGACTGGACGAGACATCTGTCAATCAATGTATACAGGAAGAACCAGCCGAAGAACAGCAGAGTCGTGGTAGAAAGTTCGGAGATGGTATTAAAGTAGCTCAGTTTAAATGTATTGTATGAATTGCCCTTACTATGGAATAAAAAATACGGAGTGTATATTTACATTTAGTTAAAAGTGGCTAAAAAACATCAGTTCCAGTGGCGCAGGTGGTTAAGTGCTTGACAATGGCTTTTTGACGCGATCGACCCGGGTTCGATCCCGCTTTTGCCAAACTTTTTTTTTTCTCCCTTGTGTTTTCTGACTTGTTATTTTGTTTTCGAATTTGTCATTGTGTTTTCTGACTTGTTATAATGTTTTCTGAATTGTTGTTGGGCTTTCTGAATTGTTATTTTGTTTTTTAGACTTGCATTTGCGTTTGTAATTTGTTATTTTGTTTTCAGAATTGTGATTTGCTTTGCACTTCTCGGCCACCGTAGATTATAAATGTAAAATGGTTATGAATAGGACTGCGCTCTGGCATGATGCAAATACAAAGTTAGAACGGTAGGTGGCGGTATGCGCTTGTGTTTAGAATAAAAGAAGAAGCGTAAGTAGCCTTTTTTCTTTCCCGGAAGCAGAGAGCACATGGCAGTGTGTCGCAGGCTTAGGGTGGAACATGGCCCACTCAGACTCCGTCAAAGCGAGTGTCCCCTCGTATTTAAAGGCAGCACAGATGATTAAACAGGGCGCGGAAGCCCGTGTCTATCGAGGTACCTTTTTGGGTCGGTCCGTGATTATCAAAGAGAGATTCCCAAAATTATATCGCCACCCTGAAGTCGATGAGAAACTGACGCGCCGCAGAACCACACAGGAGGTGCGATCCATACTGCGATGCAGGCGAGCAGGTCAGTGCACGACAACAGCGGACCCTGCCTGCACGCTGCAAGCGACTGCTGTCATAAATCTTTCTCATTTCAGTCAACTGTGTACAATACGCAGTCAAGAAGTAACCTATTTGACGGGCATAAAATAATATTGTCTCCGTCTCTATCATATTTTTTTTTTCTCAGCATCTGTAGCCCAAAACTTAAGAGAGCAGAATATTTGTAAACATGTAAACTATACTGGAATTTATTTGAAATTCTAAATTTGTAGGGCAGAATACAGAGCTTTATTTTGTATTTGTATGTTTATTCTTGTTTGAATTAAGTTAAATATTTATTCGACTAATCAAAAACGGTACATTATTTAAACAATAAGCTCAAGAAAGAATAACCGAATCTTAACCTTGATCACAATAAGTGTTAAAAACATCAGGAAGAAAAAAGTCACAAGACCATGTACTTAAAGGTAGTGCTGGGCGGTATGACCAAAAATTTATATCACGGTATTTTTCGAAATTAAAAAGTTGCTAAATCTAGTGCTAAAGTCGAGCTCGTGTGTGAGACGCGGGGGCGGTGGATATTTGTGGCGGTCAATGTGGATATTGTGGATGAGTTCTTCTGTGTCATCACGTTCTATTAGTTCTACAGCTTCAGTTTCTGAACTTTCACGCTTAGTAACACATACAGCTGTTCCCTCACCACAGTGCAACAGTGAAAAGGGACCCCTTTCAAACGGTGTCGCGTTCCGAACGTTGTTTTAACGACATACTTGGGTATAGACATAGGTATTTTAAAAATTCATACCATAACACAAATAAACACCGGTATTCGGTATGAACCGGTATACCGCCCAGCACTACTTAAAGGGATGGATGCAAAATGAAAATGTAGTCATTATTTACTCACCCTCAAGTTGTTCCAAACCTGCATTAATTTTAGCTGTTGAATGCAAAATAAGTTATTTTGAGTAAGTAACCAAGCAGTTGCTGGTAGCCATTGACTTGCATAATATGGAGAAAAAAAATACTGTAGAAATCAGTGGCTAACATCAACTTTTTGGTTACCAACATCCTTCAAAATATCTTTTTGTGTTAATCAGAAGACAGAACAGGTGTGGAACAACGTCAGGGTGAGTAAATGATGGCAGAATTTTTATTTTGAGGTGAACTGTCCCTTTAAGGCTTCAACACGGGAAATAACTATTATGAATATTTTTAAATGCCTATTTGCCTCTTAGCTGATTTTAAAGGGTCCTGCGGGGTGACAAATGACTTTTTTGATGAGTGCAAATAAGTGCATGCATAAATATTAAGACTATTAATCTGCTAAACGAACAAATGTACGCGTAATTAACATCTACACTATATGATCGACTTCTGTTTCCTTTGTCCCAGGTATCAACGCACCTGTTGTTTATTTTGTTGACTACACCACCCATTGCATTTTCTTGGAGGATATTATTCACTCGGTGTCAGTAAGAGACCACATTGCATCGGCTCAAGCGTCAGAACAAAACCCACAGCATCTCCAGACTCTAGCAGACAAGATTGGTGAAATCCTGGCTCAGATGCATGATGAAGATGTCATCCATGGTGATCTCACCACCTCCAACATGCTTCTGGTCAGTGGAGCTGAAGACCAGAACATGAAGCTGGTTCTGATTGACTTTGGGTTGAGTTATATTTCTGCTCTACCAGAAGATAAAGGCGTTGACCTGTACGTGTTGGAGAAAGCTTTTCTCAGCACTCATCCCAAAACAGAGACTTTATTTGAGAGACTTCTGAAAAGTTACACTGCTTCATCCAAAAAGTCCTCCGCGGTCATCAAAAAACTGGATGAAGTTCGATTGAGAGGTCGGAAGAGGTCTATGGTGGGATGAAGTGCATTACACCGTATATTCTGGCATTGAAATGGTTTCACACAGGATTTGCTTCAAGCTTACAGCTGTAGTTTGATGTTGGAAATGTAGTCTTTGAAGTACATGAATGTGTAAGGTTTTTCGACGCAGTGAACATTAACATAATGAATGCTTTAAACTCAAATTCTCCAATTCCGTTTGAGTGCATAATAGACAAATGCACACCCTCGACTGAAGACTGATTCAAACACGTGGAAATCCACTGATGTCTGGCCAACCTGATCGATTTATAATTAATTTGTTGAATTTTTTTTTCTCCTTACTGTACTGCTTCATCTATGGTTACATTTAGTTAATATAGTGCAATAATAATTGCCAAAAAATGGCAGCTGAATTTGAGCCCTACTAAAAATACATCAACATGTTCAGTGTGCTTCCAAGACCTGTGAATGAAACCAATAAAAAAAAAAACTGGATTCACGTTTCGCCTTTGTAACGTGCATTTAAATCAGTAATATACCGTTTCTGGACATTCATGACTGATGGTCAAGTCAAATTAGCATTATTTATATACAGTAGTGCTTTAAAACATACAGATTGTACGGAGAAAGGAGAAAAAGATGGAGAAAAAACCCTTTGCAGAAACCAGGTTCAGTTGGGGGACTAGTCCTTGTGATGCAGCCTGGAAAGTGGAAACATAAACTCACACATCAGAATTGAGGATTAATATTATTCAAAGAAATTTCATCAGGCATTGCATCCTTCTGCTTGAAGATCAGGAAACATCACAGCAGCGTTAGGTGAGAGGGATGAGATGTAGTCTGTACAGAAACATGAAGGTAGAGCTGCTGTGATGGTATAAAAACAATGACAAAAACATGCAAATATAATGTTCATATTATCAATTTATCTCCAAATAAAAAAAAAAACATAATTGTAAATACACTGTTAAATATACTAATGTTAATTCATTAATACATTGTACATGTAATACAAGATTTGTTCTGGTTGTACAAAAATACAACTTATTTGATGATTATCCAAAATATATTTGCATCCTCAATGTTGCATTCCTGCCTCTTGTTGTATTAGAAATAATGCATTTTTGTCACTGTACTCCTTGATTTTGATGAAAATATAGCATTTTTATACAAAACAAAACATACAGTAAAGATACAAAAATAGTGAGATCAGTACATTTTGCCTGACCAACAGAAATAAAACACTTTATTTCAACATACCGGTAAATCAAAAGTACAAATTAAAAAAGTTTCATCTAAAGCAATAAGCCGACATAGAAGAAATATAAAATACATTGTCATTCCTGCTGATGGCACAGAGAGCATCCTAACCACAGGCTGAGGTTATTAGGCAAAATGGTCCAAAAATAAAATCCATAAAAACATTATAATAAACAATTAAATATAAATAAAAACCAAACAGTATTTTCATAAGAGCATCAAGGCTGTAGGACATTACACTCTTTAAAAAAAAAAGATTTCCGTAGCGAAGGAAGAGAACCTTGATTTTTAAAGGTGTTCTGCAGAAATGCATCTAGGTGAAGTCTCTGTTGATGAGAATCAT